CAAATCATTTTATATAGTAGACAATGGAAGTCCGAACCAGTGAAATTCATTTTATTTTGTATTGTATGGCGTTTCCTTTTGAATTGCATTGGCTTGCATTGAATTGGATTACATTTGGATGTATTCTTACAGTTTGGTTGAAGTGATTTCGTGATTGATTGATTATTCTTCATATAAATAAAAACATCAACGTGATCCTAAGTTTTCACTGTAAGAATTCTACTTAGTCTTTCATGAATATGATTCGAAAAAGTTGATGAAAACTATACAGAAGTATTGGAGTCTTTAAATATGAAAATGAATTTGATTTGTTGAATAAAGTTCAGACGCAAAAATGGGATTTTACAACTGAGATTTAATGAATATGAAAAGCTTATACTTGAAAATTGATTCAAATTCTCTACAGTTTTTATTCAACAGTGCCACATGACAAGGACCACCCAACACGAATTTCTTTTATTCACCACGATCCAAAGATTTTCCCGATAACCCACTTCATGGTTGTTTTAAACGATGCCAAAATATTTGTTTCTGTCTCCACTTTCGTTGACCTAGGCGTGACTAGACAATGAAAACAAATATCTCTGTAACTATTTCCACGTTCATTTGTCACTGCCTGCTTCGCCGAAGAACTGTATCAATATCTGAAGAAATGGACATCGTTTGTCATCAAAAAGTGGATGTAGGTGAATAGGATTTGTGGTCAGGTGATCCCATTTGGGTGGGTGTGGAATGTCGCTAATGATATATCAGTTAATTATTGGCACATAAAAAATCGATACCACTAATAGTATTAATAATAATACAGTGTACGGCACCGAAAACAAAATATATCGAATATCTTCAAGACTTTGTTTTTCATCATTACTTCAACTATAATGCCTTCTACATCTGTTGGTGGCCGTCACCCTTAGAATTTGAATGGGAAAATTACTGAGTGTGACACATCATTAGGCAAATTTGTCAGGAGGTCATTCATGTGAAGTTCACTACGTAACTTTTAATTGTGGCGCTCTCTAGCAGGAAAAACTACTATTCCGTATTTCAAAATTGAAAAAATGTACGTTGTACCCAAAAGATGGAAATCTGCACAATTTCAATAATGTAATACTACATTGATTCACAGTAAATATTCGAATTGTTCTCCATCAACACATACCTTCTCTCTCTCTGACATTTTGCAGCATTTCCGGAATTACTGCATGGCATTGTCAAGCTTGTACGTAAATCAAAAGTATTTTTTGACCAAAATTAAGGGCCTAGCATTTTAGGAACTGGAATTTATACATAAGTTGAACACTTGTTCGTTCACAGTGCTTTCCTTCAACAATAAAATGTAAAGAAATAATTTTTTCACACGATTGTGACAGTTTGGCCATAAATCACATAAGTATGATGAATACGTACTATTCAAATGAATTGTGCACTGTACTTTTTCTACGACTGTTCTGTTTCAGGACTTTGGCGTACAATTAAAGTAAATTGTTTGCATTACGTTGAATGAAAATTATACGTTAGTTTAATATTCCTTTTTAGGAAAGAACGTTTTTGGCTTTCTACTACTCCATCTTGATACAAAAAAAGGATGAGGGAATCTTCCAAAGAAAGGAAGGAAGTAATCAATTTGAAAATAAGTAACTCTATACATGGATGTGTAGATCATGCAAAGAAGTAACTTTCAGACACAAACTGAAAGAAAGTCCTCCTGAAACAGCTACTTTTACCTATATAAACATTGAATTACACGAAAGAAAAAATTCTTTCGAAACAAATACTTCTATATGAACACTGAATTATACAGAAGATACGTTTCTCTACTCAGTTTGTATTTCAAACATTCGTTGTGGAATAAACATCAGATATCATTCACATGAGTTCTACTTTAAATGAATGGTAACAAATTGCACTTACATAGAACACTGCCATCCTCACTGGTATACATCGATGTTTCGCCTTAAGACACTTACCCTAAGGCTCTTCAGTACCAAATTGGATAACATTATAGAAAATACACACACTTCATTCATGAAATACGATTTTTTTTTCTTTTTACTTTTTTCACAAACTAAAATTTAGAAAAAAATAAATATCAACTATATAGATGTTTTGAACTATATTAATAAAGGTGTAGTTATTGAATATATATAAAAAAGTAGGTCCAGCTTGTCGAATCTTGAAAAAGAATTGAGAATTCTCACAAGAAAACGGAAACTGCCAATAACTATTATTGAAAATGAAAACTCTCACTGTCTTCTAACTCGCATCTAGTTAGCAGGAACATATCGAGAATTAGAAAGTTCTTCCTGCATTTAACAAATTGTATTTACCATCCGTGTTAGGAATCACACGTTAGTCCTTAACTCGCACGAGTTTCTCAACTTCTGAGAGTTGTCGTTCGTATGGGGGCGACAGCTGATTAACGGAAAACCAGAATTTTGATAGAATCAAAGCCTAATTCCGAAAATTGTCGGATTTTATTTCGTTAGAATTAGTTTTATTTTTCATCAGAATTACCTCTCGGATTCTCGCGTACAGCACCGCATTGAAAAATTTTTCTTCGCTAGAATTTTTCATTCCTTCAGCATTCATTATTTTCTGGTTGTCCCTTTAGGAAAGATTGCAGTTTCATATAGTCGGCCAGAGTGTGGATGTCTTGTATTTTTTAGATAATTACTCAAAGCTCGAAGTAAAGCAGTGCTGACATTTTTCGTATGCTGCCTCATACCAATATTTGGATATCTATGGTAAAACGCCATGGCAGTAGACCTATGACAGAAGAACAATATGAAATGAATTGTTTTCTTGGGTATATCTCAAACAGATAAGGCAGCGTTTTCAATGAAAGCCGACTCCGCAAAAACAAATCGTCATATTTCACACAAAACATTGAGAAATTATACATATTAACCTTCATCTTGAACCACTTCTTCCATTGTTGAAAATCAAAATTTGCTGATACTTCGTACAGTATGAACACCTGTTTCACAACAAATTATTAAGCGATCTCTCAACAAAATTTTAGTAGATGACCAAAAAATTTTAGGAAATAATCAGACAGAAAACTCTTGAGGTCTAAGGACGTAGGTAGTTTTGCGCTACCTGCATGTCCAGAGATTATTATAACTTTGGTTTGAATATTGCGTGTCAGAGTACCTATTGAATAAAGTGCGCTCGTGCCCCGTGCATCATGGATAATAATAATAATAGATTTCATTGCCTCAAACTACAATATACAAACTTGTATACACGTAGTAGGTTGTTGCGATGGTTTTATCGGTGAGGAAGTTAACTCAGTGCTTGAAAAGATGGTAGTCGGTTGGCGGGAGGTTTGGGGAGTATGGTGGTTGAGGCAGAACTTCGACGCCAATTCGTTTAATTTTCGGACGGTGATTTGTGAAATGTGCCAACGGGTGTTGTCGCGTGGAGTAGGATCGGACATCTTCTGTTGACCAGTGCCGGCTGCTGCTGACGCAACTATTGGTACATTCCGTTAACTTCCTCACAATAGGACTCTGCTTTGATGATTTGGGCCGGTTGCAGAAAGTTATAGTGAATCCCACCACCCGCTGACCAACATACAGTAACCATGTTTTTTTTGTAGGGTTTCGCCTTTGGGAATTGTCTAGGTAGCTCATCGTTGTCCAACCACTGTCCTGAACGTCTGCTGTTGTTGTAGAGGATCCACTTTTCATCATAAATGACGATCCAATCCAAAAAAGGATTGTTTTGGTTTAGCAAATGCTTTGGTGATCGAAACACGTGTCGAGGTGTTAAAAATAACGATTTGATGTTGGGAAAAAACTCCAGTAATAATCATTACTACACCAAAGGTTCCAAACAGTGCATCATAAGTACCTTCCAATACGTTTTAAACCATCAACAAAATCATAAGAGCTTCCGTCCAGGTCTTCCGACATTCCACGCACCGTTTGTCAGTCTTCACCAGGGTCCTCAAATCTTCCGTTCTGGATTACAGTTGGTCGACTATTGTAGGGGCTCATCTTCGAGGCTAAAATCTTCGTGCCTTCGTTCATCAATACAATCATTGCTAAATGCCTGGTAGATGTTTCAGGCTGTTTCTGCAGAGAAAATTGGCTGAAAATCTCTCAACGACATCATATAGCAATAAGCTGAAAAGAGTCAGAAAATTAAATTTTGGTAAAAATTGAACAGCATCGATGTATAGAGTACAAAATATAGAGTAAGTACATCGATCAGCAATAACCTAAGCATATGTTCCAGTGACAGATGGATAGGTAAACGAATAGGTACTAGGTTATAGTATATAATGCTGTAATTTAGAAGTAACTCTCAGTTATGCTTGAAGAAGCTATTGCATAGCGAAACACGTGTCGCGGTTTTTGTAAAACCCTTACAGTGAAAATCATACAACAAACTGTATTGATTTGTTTTTTAATATGAATTTTCATCAAGTATCGGCCAGTTCTATTCAATTATTTTCAATCCCCTTTATTTTATTCTGGTCTTAGACATAATATAGTCATCTATTGATCAAAAATGGAATTATTTTAGTAAGCATCGACATCTATCCGCCTTTAGATAAATTGAAATAAAGTATACTACATATTTTCAATAATAGATAACTTTACTTGAAGAAAAGTGAGAGAGTGGATAGTCGCGTAAATAAAATCAAAGAGAGAAGTAATAAATATTATCCATGAAAAATTATAACTAAGAGTACTCTGCTACAACGGTTTTCATCATGTCAAAATCTAAATTGCAACCATTGTATCTTTGTATATAGACTAACCTAGTCTATATACAAAGATAGTTTTTTCGTATATAGGTTTAGTCTATAAATACAAAGATTGTATATATAGGTAGACTATTTGAACTGTCGTTATTGTCATCTGTTATCCGATGGACAAACTACACTCAAGCTACAAACAAAAACGAAATGTAAATATTTTTAAATTTAAATAGTCTTCGCAATTCAGAAGTTGCATAATGGTGTGATAGATTTTTTTTGTTAATTAAAATAAATAAAACACGCACGCTCTACTTTGAAAAAGCGTCAATTTTTGATGGCGTTACCATCGATAGAATCGCTAGTGTCCTCTGGGTCAAAAGTCATCGAAAACACGTGGTTTTGACGTTGGAACGAGTGTCTTTGTCCTGCCATCTAAACAATGTTTGTTTATTGTATACATACATCACGCGATCCACTCTTATCATCAAAAGCTCATCACTTATTATTGAAATTGAGACAGTAATAATCCAGACATCATACGATTTTGATCGTCGTCATATAACGCGTATTCTCGAAGAATGATACCACTTTTCAACATAAAAAAATCGCTGATTTCCGTCTTCATTTTTACATTCGCCACTGCCACCTTGAATCCAGTGATACTCATACCTGGCGATGGAGGTAACCAGATAGAAGCAAAACTAAATAAAACTCAGGTACCTCATTACATCTGCGAAAAAACAACAAGCGACTTTTTCAATATATGGCTGAACATGGAGCTGCTCGTTCCCCTTGTCATAGACTGTTGGATAGATAACATCAAGCTTATATATGACAATGAGACTAGAACGACTAGGAATACTGATGGGGTTGAAATCAGGATTCCGGGATGGGGCATTACAGAGACTCTGGAATGGTTAGATCCTAGCCACGCCAGTACGGGATCCTACTTCAGAGACATTGCTTCTACACTCGTAGGATTGGGACATGTTAGAAATGTGACCATTAAAGGAGCTCCATATGACTTCAGGAAAGCACCCAGTGAGTAGAAGAGAAGATTAATTTCTGAATTGATAGGTAGAACTTTTATAGTTTCAATACATCAGAATTTGAAAACTCTGAACATAGTACAAGCTGGAAAAGACACTTGCATGTTCAAACCTCTTTTCTTATATCATATTAATCTTTTATTGTGTGTCCTGGCTAATTTAGACATTTTCCATATTTTCATATTTTTGCATTTCTCATTCCATTGTTTCATTTTCATGTTTTTGGCTTCTTCTCTATGTTATTCTTTCATCATGTTTTCTTTCTTCCTGGACTTCTTTATTTGACTGATGTCCATCTTGTTATTTTTTTTTAGTCATCTGCATTGATGACCTTCTCATCATGAGAAATTGTTTCAATAATTTTCATTTCTAGTCTAGCAAGTTTTCCAAATTCTCCTCTCTTTTTTATTCATCACTGTTGTTTGCATAGCATATGATATCAAAACACAGATATATATTATGCAATTGCTAAAAAGGTTAAATATTTTTGATAAAAATAAAATAAATACAACAATAAAAATTGTACAGATATTGTATATCTTCATTTTTATTATTTTGCTTGTTTTTTATCTTTAATCATCTTTTCATTTCATCAGAAGTCTTGGCTTCCTTCAGTAATTAGTTCATTCATCATTTCATGTTCAATTCATTAAATATTAATAGTTGTGAATTTTCATATTACTGATTATACTATACCACTTTTCAGTGAAATTTAATAGAAAGTGTCCGAGATAAGTGAAACTCTCGTCTACAAAAATAATGGATTTCTAGATAGTTGAGAGGGCAGTTTCAAAGTGAGTGGTCAATTCGATCCTCCGCTGCAGCCCACGTTGCAACATCCGGGTATGCTACAATTTTGTAAACCTGATGATGCTAACTTGGTTTGTGAAACGCCCGTCAAAAGACAATATTTTTCTTTGGGCATTAGAAAAGTTTTTTCAATATGTACCAACTTTTGAACTTTGTGTGTCAAAATTGATTTTTTCAAAAATTTGTTAGATTCAAAATTACCTACTGGAAACAAATCATTGACGCTGTAAAATGAAAAAGTTTTTCAGGCAACTAGGTTTTCCATTAATGATTACTTTGTAAGTAATTCAAAGCTGATATTCAATAGATAAAAAATAATTGCAATTATTCAAAACTTTTATCTATCTTGAAATAATGAAGTCACTTGGTGTATATACCTATTGCTATCTCGGAAACTATAAGACATAAAACGTCGGTTAAATTGGACAAACGTTTCCTATTTCGAGATACTAGAATTATCTCTACTCAGATTGAGAACATAAGTGGTTGTTTTTGAAATATTTGTCAAAAACTAGAATTGTCAAATTTCGCTTTTTGGCTCTACCGCCTCTATTTCGAATGATATTAAAAAAAGGCAGAGAAACTTTCAATACTGTTCCATATTATAATCTGATATAAAGTAAATTGCAATGCAATTATATTGATTTAGCATTTGCTTCTAGATGAGAACAAGGATTTCTTCATTAATCTGAAAACACTCATAGAAACTACTTACACTCAACACAATAACACTCCCATTGTGCTGGTGTCTCACTCCATGGGCAGCATCATGACTTTGGTTTTCCTCAACTCCCAAAGCCAGTGGTGGAAAGACAAGTATATCAGGAGTTTTATTAGTTTAAGCGGAGTTTGGGGTGGAAGCGTGAAAGCTCTCAAAGTTTATGCGATAGGTGAGTAAGTAAGAACAATTGAAAACAGAACATTCAAAAAAAAGAAGTGAGGAAAGTTGAGAAAGTTGAGAATTCTTTCAATTCATTTCTTTGTTTTGCAGCTTCATCTTGTAAATTACATGTTTTTTTGTTGGATTTTACTGAGAACATAAGAAAATCAATTGTTTTCATTTTGTTTCAAAAAAATTTCAGAATCCAACAAAAAATAAAGCATCTTTTCACAAAGGAAATTTTGGTCTAAATGATCATGAGAATCGCCTTACAAACAAATATTTGTTTTTTTGCTCTGTTGAACGATATACCAATAATTTCAATCTGTGACCAATTCAAATTATGTGTAAACAAATGAGTGATGTTGCATTCAGATAAACATAATGTGTATTGTGTCAGAGAAATGATCTCAACTCATGAGGTTAGTAAATAATCATACTTTTGTTACAATACAATGACTTCAAAAGCTCATCACTTATTATTGAAATTGAGACATTTCTATTGTCTAAAGACATAAAACTGCTATCAGCCCTTTGAGTAGGAGGCTAATCACTTCCTGGATTGACCCACAGTCAGAATCAAGGAAAAATATAAATTAAAAAACTTTTCACTCACATGTGTGTTTGTGTCAACACTAGTTGACCAAGCTATTAATATTATCAACCATTCATAAACTTCTTTCAGGAAATATGTTTTATATAGGTTGTTTTCGTTTTCAGGGGATGATCTAGGTTCATACATCCTTCGCGAGAGTATTATGAGGGCAGAACAAATTACCTCACCTAGTTTAGCTTGGTTATTACCTTCTAAGTTATTTTGGAAACCTAACGAGGTTCTTGTTCAAACAGACAAGAAAAACTTCACAATTAATGATCTCGAAGAGTTTTTTCAGTAAGTGTTATTCAATTAACAATAATATTGTTAATAACTATTTACCTTATATAATGTTAAATTAAATCAACATATCTTATACCTACGCTTAGCACGATTTTCAAAAACTTCTAGAAAGTGTTGAGCAAAATCCTCAAAACTTAATATGCTTAGGAAGTATAAGTTTGACTCTAATGAAATTTATTCTGTGCAAATTTGGTAATGTGCCCTTCATATTTCATAAAACTTTTTTTTTTTCATTTTTGATGTAAAAACCCATGAATGTCAGTGATAAAAAAATTACTTCTTGACCTCTTTTTTTCAAGGAAATCTTTCATCAAACATTTTGGATCAGATAGAATATTTTGAAGAAAAAGCCTTATTAAAAACTCGTCACAATTTTAAAAGCATTTTTTTACATTGGTTCAACACATTGTATGTGATGCTACTTTTTTTACAGTGAAACAGTTTTATGATAAACTCTCATTATTGTTCTTTGCCACATAATCACAGCTTGGCATAAGATTACAATTTCGAACAAAAGGTTATTTTTGTGAAGGAATTCATAGATTTTTATCGACTTTTTTGGAGATTTATCATCAAGCCATACATTTGTGTTGCTCACCTACCTAATGAAGGTAGTCACAGACTGATGCTGATCACGTCCACAATAAATTGAGGAATATGTTCCATGGTCTGTCAACCTTGGAGTGGACTATTCTTCACAAGAAATTTAGGTCTAGATACCATCATAGCACATACTCTGTGCTTGCCCTCTGGCGGTGAAGATCAAGGTTTTAATGATTATCAGATTCCCAATCTTGAGAGATGACATGATAGATCACTCACTGAAATAAAGTAATTGGTTCCATAAAAAGCTGCATTTGGTTGGTAGAGCTTGAATAGATGTGAGCCACAATAAACCCTCGCGGGTGGCAATCGGGTGTTGAATAAACTCACTTCAAACCTACCTAAAGAACATTTGCTTCCCTGGCTAATAACATGACTCATTGATCTACATCTGAGAAACATTTGGGCAAGTTTCCTAAAAAAGTCGTCCTTGCAGGTTAATTCAATTGATTTTAAACCACTGTGAAAAGTTTTGTACCTGTTCCAAATTCACTTCTCAGTAATTTTCAAGTATCGTATTCTATTGACGACATTGACTTTTTTTGCAGGGGAGTGGGTTACCCTGATGGTTGGGAAATGAGGAAGGACACAGAGCCCTTCCAGCTGAACTTCAAACCTCCTGGCGTTGAGGTTCATTGTTTATATGGAGTTGGAGTTACAACTGTAGAAAAGTAATATACTTTGAAAATTCTCTGAAAACTAATTTGAATAACTAATATTCTGTATTAGGTTGTACTACAAACCAGGAACCTTTCTAGATGGTTATCCTACCCTTCTGACCGGGGACGGAGATGGTACGGTAAATCGAAGATCACTGGAGGGCTGCATACACTGGCAAAAGCTACAGAAACAAAAAGTGTATGTGAAAGAATTGCCAAAAGTTGACCATTTGCAGATCTTGCACGACAAAACTACTCAAGATTATATCGCGAATCTAATGAGAAAGTACCAGGCACAACCACATCGGCCAAAATCTTTACTGAGCTGGAATTTTTTCTGTAACTATTTGTCCTGCAGATAAGATTCATCTGCCTTTTTTTTACTACCCAATGCTCTCTGGTTTGTCCTGCACTGATAGCAGAACAAGTGATAAGAAAATAAGATATTTTAGAAAAAGATGGTATGTTTGTTGTTATTCTATTAGCCAGCAGGATATGATGGAAGTGTTTTAAATTGTTGGTTGTTTACCAATTTGTTGTCAGTTGTGGAATCAATTATTATTTACATGTTATATCAAAACATATGCTAGAACTATAAGAAAAAACTCTTTCATACTCTTCGCTGGTCTTAAGTTTGTGAGATTTTGCAACTTAGATATTATTTCCCTCCACTAATATTTATTTATTTATTAGAGTGATTTTGTGACGATGTAAATAAAAGCAAGCATATTTATCTAGAGTTTTATTAAATTACATTTACAAATTGCACTTAAATGAGAGAACTTTTGATTACATTTTTGTACATTAATTCTAAATGCGCTGGTAATACATTTTTGGTAATAGAAACTGAAATTCAATTAATCCAAAGGAAAGCTTGCCCACCATGCTAAAAGATTTGAAGGGAAACAAAAGTAACGAGATTTACAAAATGATATATCACTTTCATCACATGATTGGTCAACAATCGTGGAATATTCAAATCTATTTTGTATATAATTTGCTATAAATGTAAGATAATCATTAACCTTTTAACGCTAATATCAATAGATTCTTTTCTAATCTCTTGGTGTACAGCATATTTCATAATTTACAATATAAAAATAAATAACTAGAAAATGGTATAAAATCTCTTATGTGTTATCAATTTGATGGGTCCGGGCAAAACCAAATGTCATGTGTTGAATAAGCTGGAACAAAAAAATACATTCATCTCAGATATATGTCTTTCTCTCGAAAAATTACATAAGTGATACCAATAACCAGGAAAAATTTCAAATAGCTGAGCTTTTCACTCAAATATAAACCTTAACTTTCTTCAGGAAAAATTTCAGTTTCATAGTAACATTACTGTTTCTTTTCTTTAGACGCCTAATGAGAAAATATTCAAATATATAAACAGAGAATTTAGGTGTTTTATTACCTGAACAATATCAATTAATGATAAAGCCCTTGCGTCCTCATCAGTGTTATACTTAGTGTGTAAATTAATTCAGTTTCTCCAGTTTTCTCTTCAGTAAAAGGAATGTGCAAATATGCTTTTTCTATCAACGAAAAGATTATTATTCTTGATGTATATGAAGCTCTTGTCCATACCTTATACCATTAATACTCTGGTGGAAATGTGTTCCCAAATGACGGGAGTTTCAAAATTATTGACATGTAAATTCAACATATAGTCAGTGGGCATACTTGAAGACTGGCTATAAATCAAATTATCTAAGAACAATTCGTTCAAGCCAGTCTCATCTCCCTACACAGTAGGTTAATGGACTGACACCTATCAGAAAACAACTACTCCCCTGGCTAATACCACGAAGGTCGAAACCGGTCTGCAAGTGTGTTCCAATAATTGAAAATCTATTGCGACAGTTGTATCGCCAACAGCATATTCAGGAATAACTTCTGTGAAGAATCCTGCACTGACACCTGTCGGATATAATCCAACGTCCTTCGTGGTATTAGCCAGGGGAGTAGTTGTTTTCTGATAGGTGTCAGTCCATTAACCTACTGTGTAGGGAGATGAGACTGGCCTGAACGAATTGTTCTTAGATAATTTGTAAATTCAAGAACGAAAGAAATAATGAAGCTGTGAAATCCCCAAACCATCTTTAGGAAAACAGTCAGATAAAACTACAAACCTATAACTAGAAAAACAGTAAATTCATTGTATTTTAAGAAATAAATACAAACAAAATAATGGGAGAAAAATAAAGTATGTCTCCAATGGTGGACAGAAAAAAATTGTGGAAAACTTTGAAGGAACTAAATTTCAGCTGAAAAAACTAAATATAAAATCGCTCCTAAATGAAAATTATGAAAATATTTGCTGGAAGAGACATTATCTAATGCAGATAAGAGAGTTTCAACTTGAGGGTATGAAAATTTATAATCTGGCTTGACGAAGGATATACCTTTGCAAAGCTGTGACAAGTCAAAGACATAAGTTCACATCAAGCATTTTTATATGGCTGGGCTACCGAATCAAAGTCGTCTTCTAGAAAAGGAAAGCATCTGGTTATTACCTACATTGGAAGTGTTGATGATTTTATTGAGGACGGTTTATTGATGTTTGAGTCAAAGCATTCTATTGATTACCATGAAGATATGAATGGCGATGTGTTTGAAGAATATTTTGAGCAAATGTTGGATCTCACTCCACCTAACTCGATGATTGTTATGGATACTGCAAGTTGTCATTCCGGAAAATTTTGAAGAATTCCAACTAATACATGGAAAAAAGCGTATATCATCGAGTGGCTTTGACAAAAAACATAGTATGTTCAAGTGAAACTCGTCAACAAAATGGCACAGAAACGAAATGTTATGCTTCCTGCCCCCTTATCATTGCGAACTTAATTCCATTAAACTTGTGTGGGCTCGAGTAAAGGGTTTAATGTAAAAAGAAACACGACATTCAAAATAAATGATGTCAAAATACTCTTTAAGATAAAACTTGGATAAAAACTATTATAACTTTAATCATATCTAATGCTCCAGAAAAGTGTCTAAAATAATTTTTGTTAATATCTGTAATTTAGTCAAGGAATGACAAAATCTGATTTTCTTAAGGAACTGAATAGCAATCCAGTAAACAAATTGATGGAACCTACTGCATACTGAGGTTATGAATTTGCATTTTAATTTGCCTGATCTATAAATTTACCAAAGGTAAAAATATAATAAAATGACTGAAACAAAGAAGTGAATCAAATAAAGGTTTTATTATGTGAATTTACTGGTGTAATTGCAAATTATTGGTTTCAATTGTGAATTCACATTGACGATTATGCAATTCACAGATGAGAGTGAATTTACACTTGGGAGATTTTAAATTATTGAAAGCACCATATAAATCAGTGAGTTTTCTTTCATACTATGAACTTTGAATTCAAGTCCCAATGTAAATTAATGAATTAATATTTATATTTATGAAATTTGATTATTGCCAGCCCTTCAAGAATTCATGATATGAATTATTTCAACATTTTCATAATAACCATTTCATTTCATAGATTTTTTTCTCATTTCTTAAGAGAAATTCCTTATAATTTCTTGAGATTATCAGTAAGTACTTCCAGTACTCTTAATATACGATTCTAATGCATAACACCTAAAGGATAAATATCAAACTCAAATACTAAAGATGCATTTATTCAAACAAGGCACTAAAATAATAAATGTCAGGCAGAAAAATAAAGTTAAAGAGGAGAGATGGCAAGCAACAACCGAACAAGCGCAAACCCTACCTATACTTTCTCTTACTCCTATGCATAAGCAAAGAGAACATAGACAAAAACAAGCGAAGGCTGAACACCTCCCTCAAGAAGTATACGAACTTTTGCAGCAGATAAAACAGTCCGAAAACTACATACTCTTTCTGGACGCGCTTCTTCACCAAGTGTTCCAGTTTGTCAGGAGGGTATTTCTTGTAGAAAGACGACGCTCTTGTAAGAATCTCTTCGAAGTCAAGATTGTCCGGGATCTGGGATAGCAGACAGTGTATACTGGCCATGTCACAACCTTCTGCGAAAACCTCTTTCCGTCTTTGGATCACCAAAGACGTCGCCACATACAGGGGCATATCCGCAGGGGATGCCAAGAAGAAGTCGTAGAGCCTCACCACGTCCTTATACTGGTTGAGGGAGTGGCCAAACCATGTTAGGTACCAGGGTAAGGCAAACATTGTACCGACAGAAGCTCTGTAAAAATATTCGTTACTTTCATGGAATCATTTTACATTTAATAATAATAAAAAATAATGATAGTAATTTTTATTTTTTCAATAAAACTGAAATCATTGAGGTGAGAATTGAATTCATTCAACAAAAGAATACACATGTCATCAACAAAATAGGCAATAAAACCCATATTTTTATATAACATCCTTAAATTCTACGAGTGAAAAAAGATAACAAATCAGTTAACATTTATGTTGAATCAGCGAGACCTCTTGTTTGGATGAAAGCTTGTCCTCAGTATATCGAAGAGATATAGCTATACATACATGGGTTGTTAGCAATTTCGTTGACTTTCAGAACGTTTGACAGTTTACATGTTGTTTATTGAAAAATTCCTACAGTTTCAATTCTATTATATTACACAATACAAATAGTTTTCACAACTGATAAACTGTAGGCTGCACTCGCTGATTTTCAAAAAAAATGTGGGTACTCACGTATTTTGATGTGTAGATTACGAATTCAAAATAAAAAATCGGCGCTTTCCCTTATTTTAAAGTTACAACCCTTCTAACTCGATTCAACAATGGATTCATTTTCTAGTGACATCTCTATAGTGTAACCTCTATATTTCATAGGAAAAATTTTGATTATTAAACTGAAAAGTGTCAAAGGTGAAATAAGATGCGAAAGTGATGTGAATAAATACTTGTGATTCTATAGTTTGTGTTGTGCAAAATAAAGACTGAAAAGTTGCAATTTTCGAAACTTTTTTCGGCTATAACTGTGGAAATGAGAGAGAGCAACGATTTTTTTTGGATTCGTAATCTACACGTCAAAATACGCAAGCACACACTTTTTTTCAAAATCGGCCTGTCCAAAATTTTACCAATTTTATATCATCATTATAAATTTCAATCTCAGATTGGAAAATTCAAATTGTCAGATATCTGAGTGGAAGGTTGGAATATAAAATATGTTTCTACAGAATTATCAATAAAGTGCTGACGAATTTTATAAAATTAACTCAAAAATTGTAAGATGGGATTTTCACTATTGTAGAATTTCAAAAATAATAGAAATTCTTCATTGAAAAGTTAGGTTGTTCGGAGCAGTAGTCATATCGTTTTGTTTTCATTAGTCTGGACCAATTTGTGGACTTATATCGGATGCACATATTGACGTATACGCATTCTTTCATCCTATGTACCAATTTGAACAAAACTTTCATAGAGTCTTCAACAAAATCATGAATAATTCTTTCTAGATTGAAAAATCATTACTATGAATTTTTATATAAAAGACAATTGTGGTCTGAGAACTGATATACACATGTAAATGTAGTAGTATTACTGATTCAGCTGCATCATATTTAGAAAAACATCATTAAAATGTATTTTAGATGACCATCCCAAACACTGATAATGTCCCAATGGAAGTTCTGCACTTAAATTCATGTACCTGAAAATTACATTTTCTAAATAATTTTACCTGTCCATGAAACTATGTAGATCTGGATCAACTTTGGAAAGCAAAGCATAAATGTAATTCAATCTATAGGAAGTCTTTTCCATGGTTGGCTCCATACACTCTCTTAAATTATCAGTGCTTAGTTTCTCCATAATTCTGAATGCCACAACTTCTCCTACTACTAATAAAAATGTGATGGCTACGTCATGATATCCCTAAAAGAATTGAAAAACAAGTTTTGTTAAGTTCATGACTTGAAAATCTTGATAAATATTCGGTTATCTAGCTCACGCTAGTTTGTGAAATATTTTCAATTAGACACTGAATCTTGAATTAGAAGTCAAAATTTGGCGTTGTGGTACTTTCGAAGATAAAACCACTCGAAAGTTGAAACCAGACTCATTTCTGGTAATCAAAATCATACCTTTTTTCCAGAATAAAAAACTTCTAGTTCACTAATAGGACTCTTTTTTGAAATCATATCCTTAATGATAATATCCCTTCACTAGAGTTTTTGTTATCATTTATTGGCAATATCATGACGTGTCAAAGTCAAGAAATGAAAATTAGGTTGTCTAATTGTAAATTTTACTTAACTTATCAATCTAGCTTTGACGAGTACAATTTGGAACCTCTAGCGTAAAATGAATCTATTAAAAATACTTTTCCCACACCAGAACAACAAAAAAGTCTCTCGGTGCACGTTTTGCTAACCAAATTAGCATCATCAGGAGATAACTAAGAAAAATTCCAACAGCTAGTTTAATGTTCTTATACGCATCTAGACGAATCATAACTATTATAAAATTCATAAAACACCTATCTGGTGAAGAATATGTATCAAAAAGGATACAAATGGAATAAACTGTTTATGAAGACTCTAATAACTTTTCAGTAGTGCAGAAAATCACAAAAACTTTAAATCTAACAATTCGTTTGATTTAAAGTTCACGGAACTTCATGGCAGTTCATGAAGTCTCGACGATTTTCAGTAATAACCTTACATGAAGGGGATTGTGAAATTAATAACTAGTTTTTTGTTATTGTTCCTAATCTTATTTGCTAACTGACTGATACCTAATCTTTCCCCGTTTTCTAACTGTAATTAGGTGAAAATGCAAATGAAGGCTGTTAGGAATAGGACCTTTGAAGCTTTTCATAAGTTTCATTCCACATTTTTAGATGTTTAAACTTTCGAAGGCATTTAGAAACTTGTCATGTTCATACCTCACTTATTCTGTAGCTGTTCTCTATGGCATATTGAGTAACACTAGACTTCTATAGTTCATAAAACCGAATATGTAAAATATGTTCTTTGCAGCGAGGTATTATAGTCCACTTAGTTTGACCAACATATTTTTTATCTCAATCGTCACAGCTTATTTCATAAATCCCAGATTTTTCCTTCCCTGCTACCTTGTCTTTCGGGTTGCCCAACACTTGTTTTAGAGTGCAAGCATTTTTGAAAGCACTTTCATATTCCAATTTTCTTTGTTTTTCTGAAAAGTCAAGGATTTATGAAGATTGAAGGGGAATGTGACCAGCCTATGGACAAAAAATGTAATTCTGCCATTATTTGTTGTGAACATGGTGGGAGCTGTCAGGACTATATCTCAGAGTGCTAGTATTCTTCCCATATACATGACATTTTACATTTTCTTGTATATAATTACAGGTTAAAAAAGATAAAGGTTAGGTATCAACCAGGTAGCAAATAACATTGGGAACAATAACAAAATAACAGGAATTAATTTATTGACCCTCATTATGTGAGGTAATAATTCGACTAGATGCATATAAAAACAACATAGAAATCATTCTCAGTCATTTGATAATTCTAAGTTGTTTAGAAAAATGCACATGGAGAGAGTATATTATTGTTCTAGTGTACAAAAAGAGTCTTCAATAAATCAAGCATTTTTTTCAAGTTAAACACTACACAAAACACAACATAGAATCAATTGTGAAAGGCACCTTCCCAGGTAGCTCCCATTTTCTGTTTCATAGCCATTCCATTTTGACACATTCATTTCTAGTTTAATTTTCAACACTGCCAACAATACCAATTGAAAAGTACCTTGTAAAAGTATCATTGAATTTCATTAACAATTGTATTTATCACAGTGTGGTGATGTACTGGAAAATATACAGTTTAGAGGGAATCATAAGTTTTGTACAACAAAATTCAAGTGGCAAGTGAACAAACGCAGGTTCACAACAAGCTATTGTGAAAATAAAGTATCAGTTACAGGTTTTTATTGCCAGAAATCCTTCACATACCTGATAGTATCGTAATTTTGGATACTTCATTATGACACGTAAGATGAGCACCGTCAGTTGATCTTGAAGAGCAACACGTTGCTTATATGGAATGCCTATAAAAATTGAAAGATATATTTCATTGGGGTTTTCAACAAAATCTCACCTGGAGGAAACCTTTTCAATGACCTATTCACATCCAAAACCACTTGTTGGTACTCGCTATGACTAGATAATTCTTCAAGAGACGGGATCTTCTCATTTGGAGTAGGATCTACTTCCAACAGAAGTGGCCATACCTTGAACCTCAGGTCATCTTTAAAAAGTGAAATTAGTGATATGGTAGCAGTATAATAATAATGAGTTTATTTAGCTCTAAAACTTCTATATACAAATATCTAATAAGGATACAGTAGATTAAACTATAAATTATTAGCATGTTAATAATAATAATAATAAATCGACTTTATTCATTAATATGTGAACTAAATGGCAATGTGTCTGTTTTACTAACTTTTTAAGGTTTTGAATATCATTTGAATTGATGATGGCTAAAGCTTCAAATTGTATTTTATCTTCAAGATATCCAAGAAGTATGTCATTCAAGAAATATAAAATAAACATTTTCCTGATCTCGATGAAAGTTCAGTTTTCCTAGCAATTTTTTCTATATATATTACATGTTCATTGAAATTTAGTCAACTATATAAAAATACACTTCTGAATATTTAACTTATGAAACAATTTCGATTTAATCATTTTCAATAAAGAAATATCTGAAATTCTGGAAGGACAATTTGAAAGTAACAAATTTTGATTTAATTGTGTTCATTTTCATCTCTTTGAAATTCAACCTATTTGCCAAACATCATACATTTGATATCCTTCTGTAAAGAATCAATAATTTCATTTCCTGAATTTCCTGTTATCTGCAAACAGTTATATTTAGAATTCATTATAAATTCACAAATATCATTTATGTATATGATAAACGATAGTGGTCTCATACACCTTGTGGACCACCATATATTTTGTAAAACTATTTGAAATTACATCATTAAATTTTGTCACTTGTAATGTATTTTTGATATATGAAATATTCACCAAATTTTTGTATTCAAGTTCTTTCTTAACCAACACTAATATATCCCTCAATATAAAGTTCATTACAATCAATTTCTTTGGTTATATGTGTTCATTTTATAGAAATCAGTATAGGTTTCCATTAACATGGTAACTTCTACTTCTGTTTCATTTTGTATAAAACTTTACTATGTATAAAACATAATAACTTGTATTATTCTGTGTCAATAGTGGCTGAAAGAAAGGATTATTTTTTCTCCTTTGTATATTTTCAAAAAAATTAGATGATGTATCCCTTGAAAGGACAATACACAGTATCCAATTTGAGAATGAATTCAACATTTAGTTCTCTACAATTGATGTATTGTTTAAAAAAAATTAGAAACTTTACCGGCAATCAATCCATACGGGGTAATACAAAAATTTTGCCAGATTTTCAGTGGTGTATATTCATTACTCAGGGCATCTTCGATAAGAGCCCTTTTCTGGGTTTCTTCTTCAGTTTCTAAGGCTGAAATTCAATGATATATAAAAACTGTTTTATAGTTTTTAATCGCCCCACCTTTATCAAACTTCAGTTCGGATCTCGTATCTACAGTGTCATCGTCGAAATCTTGATGGAAATCATCGGATTTTCGTTCTGATGAAGATTCGTTATTGAACAGCGAAGTAGTTTCTTCATCTATACTACTGATTTCGTCATCAAAGTTCTCCATTTTCAACGAAAGTGAAACCCAATTTTAATTTGATAACATATTTCTGAAAAATATTACAAAATAACAATAGAAATAGAGATAACCTCCCAATGGAGTTGTCAATGTCAATGGCAAATTGCCATCTGTCAAACTAAACAGCTGTTCATGTTTTGCAGAATTGTTCGCCGGTAACATATATCAGGTGTGCGTTTTTGGCACTTTAGCACTAATATTATTGGTACATTATCCATTCACGAAACTGGCTCTAGACGAACTCCTAAATTAATTGACGTGTCCACTGATGGATTCGATGGTTTCATCTGTTGGTCCATTCAAAACGTTAGAGCTTTTCTAAGCGATCTATTATAAACTTTCTGTTGAAAACAACTCGTCCTTCTCTTTGCTCCATTATATAACATCGGAGGAAGTAAATAACATTTGGCGAGGACGACCCAATGTGGAATTAAGGTGTGTACTAAAATTCAACATAAAAATGGAAACGCTCTATTGTTTCGAATTGATAGATCTATCAATTCAATAGGTGGACACACCGAATAATTTAAGGTTAGTGCCAACTAAACACACTTCAGAAATAAAGTTATAAAATTCACCGACAATTTTATCAATCCAATGAAATATTTTTTATGCTTAATGGATTATAGTTATGACATCCACACCAATCGATAAGTGCCTGAACTAGCCCTACCAAAAAAATCACTACTTCATGATAACGTAGCCATGATGACGTCACTGGTAAAATCTAAACAATCACATGAACTTTGAATAGAGAAATATTATCTCATATTAAACATTCAAAGGGGCTCTTCATTAAAAAACTCCATTGGTCGTGGTTTGGTAATTTGGTTTTCATCAGCATTCAATTGTCCCAGTATGTTTACCTTACTATAAACTCGCCATTTGAACTGAGTATTCCAGAAAGTGATGCCGACACCTTCGGTGGACACTTTTTGTATAATGCGCCAACCAAAATTGAAGGAGACCCATTGTCGGACTGGTACCAAACAATATCGCCCCCTTGCATAGATAGTGGCATGCATGGAGTAGATCTAATTTCAGCTCATACAAATAAGTACCTAGATGAGTGGAGCCAAAAAGTTATCGATACACTCCACTGGATAACTTCAATGTTGCGACATAAAAAATATTTATAGTGGTGAAAATAGTTTCAAGTTCATAAGATGTGACAAAAGATTTGCCAGAAACAAGACTCTGCTAAACTATGTCCAGAAACATGCTGGGGACAAATTATTCAAATGTGGATATTGTCCTAGAGGTTGCAATTATAATAAAATGTACTTTCCTTCATTTTAATTTTTTCTCCTTGATATCTTTTGGGTAATAATGTATATTCATTTATCTATCTATAGTTGTTTCAACCTACGGCACTCTTGATACAAAAATAATAGCTAAGTCATATGCATCGATATAGAAAATTGTGAATATATCGAAAACGATCACATCCAGCGTTGTTGAGAAGGTATACCTTTTTTACTTGGAAAAGGTGTGTGAATTAGGTTTTTTCATGAAAAGTACCAAAAGATTACTGCCAAAAAAGTTAGGGCAATTTGAAATAATGATAGCGTACGCAGCGCCTTCCAGATGTTTCATGAAAATTAATACGAAATTATGATTTCCCACGTCAAAANACCGGTCTCTATTAGAATCTGGGCTAGATCATTTTTAGTGAAGCAACTTTTGTTAGTTTGAAGAAGATGGATAAAAAGGAATTTCGTGTGTTAATTAAGCATTGCTTTTTAGCAAAAAAAATACTGTTGAAGCCAAGGCTTGGCTTGATAAACATTATTCGGACTTGGCACCAGGAAAATCAACCGTTGAGAAGTGGTTTGTTAAATTTAAACGAGGTGACATGAGCACCGAGGACGATCCACGCAGTGGACGCTTCAAACACGCTGTTACCGAAGAAAACATCGAAAAAGTCCAAAAAATGATTTTGGATAACCCCAAAGTGAAGTTGATCGAGATAGCTGAGGCTCTACAGATATCAAAGGAACGTGTTGGACATATCGTGCGTGAATATTTGGGTATGCAAAAGCTCGGTTCAAAGTGGGTGCCGCGCGAGCTCACAATCGACCAAAAACAAATTAATGATTCAGAGTAGTGTTTGAAGCTGTTCTACCATAAAATCCCGAATTTATGCGTCGATATGTGACAAAACTTGGCTCATCTTTCACACCAGAATCAAAACGATCATCATCTGAGTGGACTGCACGTGGTAAACTGACTCCAAAGCGTGCAAAGACACAACAGCCGACGGGCAAGGTTAAGGTATCAGTTTTTGGGATGCACATCTTGCAAAGGGAAAACCATCATCAGCGACTATTGTATAGCGTTATTGAACTGTTTGGGAAAACCGGACCCATTTGGAGATAAAGAAAGTGCTGTGTTTCATCAAGACAATGCACTATGTCACAAATCAATGAAAACGATGGCTGTGTTTGATTATATAGTTCATGTATTTTTTTGTGTACTCTGAGTTTATGCGATTTTATTGATTGTCAGTTTTATGTCATAAAAAAAATCAAGTGAAATGTTTTTTAATAGAATCAGTACTTTTACTGTATTTCTCACCCATCTTCGTCCTACATTCGACCAATTCAGTCTCCGTGTAGGTGAATTTGGAATATATTTCTGAGGCCTATTTTGAGGCTCAAGATGAATCGAACTATAAATATGGTATGAAAAAATTGACCACTATAATCGTGCACCCCCTTGAAGGAAACTGTATTGAATAATAAATTGAATTTTATCAAAAAAAATTTTGTTAGCCTGCGAACTTTTCAGCCCATTTATCCACCATAAAGATGTAAAGAAACTCTGGTGTTTTAAGAGATTGTGCCCTTTTTGGGGAAAGACCGTTTTTGATTTTCTATTTCTCCATCTTGATACAAAAAATTTATTGCTTCCTTCCTTTCTTTGGAAGATTGCCACATTTGTTGTATCAAGATGGAGAAGTAGAAAGCCAAAAACTTTATTTCCCAAAAATTAATTTCTCCTAAAAATATAACCTTTCAATTTATTTCCTTTTGTTTTGTCAAAAACTATATACAAGTCAAGTCAAACATGTTTATTGCTTTTTAAGAATATTTATAAAATATTGTGAATGTGTATTGTGTTGTGTGGGGCCCTGCTATAGGCTTATGCCTCTTCATGGTTAAACTATATACAAAGATGCTACCATTGTCTTAGACAATGAACCTACACCCTATCACAAGTATTTTTCTACTGTGACTCTACTTTGTACACATGTCGATAGATGGTGGAAGAATCGAAATCTGCCGTGCGTATGTTGTACAGAATTTTAATTTATGGATCATATTGTTAAAAAAATCACCTAATATTAATTCATTCCCAAATGTAAGCAGCATTGAAAATTGAAGTGTCAACTTATCATTGTCAAGTTGCGTCACTTGAATTGTGCTCAGCACCTCCTTGAAAGCTGAAATTTATTGGATCTCTATTATTTCTTTATCCGTAGTGCCTTTGGTCGGAAGTTTTTGACAAAATAATTTACATGGGGAAGGGGTCAACATGATCACACTAGAGACATTCTATGCATGTCCATTAGATACTGCACGTTTCTCGCCAGGTCTGAAAATTCCGTAATTTCAATTTTGTATTATAAAAAAACACTGAAAATTTATTAACTAAATATAGATGTGTCAGAAGTTAACAAACAATGAAGTATATTTCTTCGGAGAAGATGTTCGAAATGTCTCATAAAACAAAATAGTTTTCCATCAATAACTAATTCACGTAAAAAAGTGCTTCGGAAATGTTTTCATAGAAACAAAAAGTTTTTAACAGGAAAAAAGTTACAGCAACTTTTCGAAAATGCACATTTTCGAAAAACATGCTGTAACTCAGAAACGATGATAGATATCGATAGGTGGTTTTCACCATCAAGTTTGTCATAAAATAAAATTTGACCCTCAGACACAGCCATCAGTTTTCATGCATCTATCTAGTTTGAAAACAGGAGTTTCCCTTTAAAAGTGTCTAATTTGGCCCAATCTGTACCTGGTTTTCCTTCAATTTTTGTTGGCGCATTATAAGGCGTTTTCTGGCGCTCATGTTTTCAAAACGTATTCGTCTGTGATTCAAATACATTCATTCTGGCGTTGATGACGTCACATCAACTAAGATTTTAAACGTATTCATGATGATTCAAAACTAGCGTAAAAGTTGGTTTTGAAATGGAATTTAACGTTATGTTACATTACGCCAATTGTCCGTTTCTGCTTTATTTTGATCCATATAGTTTATAAAGTGATGAAAACTTTTTATCAAATACGTTGTAAGGATGTACAAAATGAAGCTGGAAAATTATTACAAGTTTGTTTTTATTATTAAATTTGACATCTGACACAAATTGAATCATTCTATTCTGGCGAATTCCATAATTAATGACGTAACTACGAATCGTTTTTGAATACACGCTCCAATACGATGAAACACCAGAAAACACCTATACAAAAAGTGATGTCGTCGGTGAATGAACCTTTTTCCTGAAGTACGAAAAATCACTTACTAGCAGCGCTAGTAGTTCGGTAGGGACAAACACTGCCTAATCCTCATATAAACATATGGGAAAGTATAATTAAAAAAATTATGTTTTTAACAGAAGAAAATGTTCCTGGAACAAAACTAAAATTTGCAACTGTAAAGGATAACTATGTTGTAACATTAAAACGTTGGCTTGCCGTAATTTGAAAGTAACTGAAAAAAAAAGTTAATTAATAGACAGGTTAGTATACAGACTCTAGTAAAAGAGTAGCGGTAAATTGAAACTGTAGTAAAAGAAATTTAAAATAATTATGAATTTCAGATTTATTTCCGAGTGAAATATGAATCAAATATAGATGGTAATGAAATAAATTTAATTAAATATAATAAATGAATATAATTTAATAAACGATTGAGGTTATATCTCATTCTAAGCAATGGTAATCAACTATGAAAAATTCACTATTCATTTCATGTTTAGAGCATACATATGAATATTTATTTATTTTTTGCACTAGTAAATCTACTCTCCTCGAAGCATGTATCCATTTCTTACACCTAACCTCAGTACTATAAAGTTTTATAAATGGTATAAAAAAACACGTTTTCTTTCGGATATCGATTATCCGACGTACAATTCGCAAAACAGCAATGCTTTGTTGGCATTATACTAGCACAAAATAATTTTTTAAATCAGATTTATATTTTTAAATAAATTAATATTACGTAAATAACACTGTTTTACATGTTAATAGTTTATGTTTGTCCTTACTACTAGTGCTGCCTCTCGTGACACGTTCGCTGTACTATTCTCAGGAAAAAGGTTAATTCAAGAACTCGTCCACAGTTCTAAATCGTTCAGAGCAAACCTAACTCAGAAAAACCTAAGACGTTATCAATTGACGTTTGGCGTCATCAACTGACAGCAATTTGTAGACCGGTTCAAAAATTTTGGTGGTTATATTTCTTGTATTATTAGCGATATGCAACGTATGTTTCTCTCAATTATAATTGCAACTGCACTCAGAAACACAACTCTTTACAAATTGCTGACGAAACCAATCGTTAGAGAACGTCTCTATATCAACTTCTCTGTTGTTTTTGTGTTATTTGGCTCTATTGTCTAGTAACTATACTGTTCTGTGAATATAAAGCTACCTGGAAACTCTTGAAAGCAATTTTATTTTTTGACATTTTCTGGCTGACAGTATGAAAAATTTAAAGTAATTATGATTGATCCAGACTTCTACCCACTTATGGCAGACAATTACAAGCAAATAGAGGATATTATCGATTCAAGAAAATCATTGGGCCAATATAATGTAAACAAACAAAACAACGGTATTAATTACAGATATGCTTATTCGAACAGCAGCAGCACTAGCGACAGCAACCGGTACATCAGATTCGAAGAAAATGTCGTGTTGAACGAAGGCGATTCCCTAAATAACTCCAATATCAAACAAACCGATTCTGAAATCACGGTGATGAGAGTAAAATGCAATGACTCATCTTTCAAGAGGCGCAAAAGCAAGTGGGACATGCACGATATTGCCATTCCTGGAGACGGTTCCCACTTAGGAGAAAGTCCTTCTCTGGTCAACCTTGTCACTCTGGTCGGTGATAGCATTCCTTTCGAAGGCGAAGAATACCTTGTGCCGCTTTCTTCGTGGGATCCCTATGTTAAATCGGAGGATTTTTCGACTGACGTAAAATACTGCTCTGACTCCAAACTCAATGAGGCCGAATTCAGTTCCAAAAAAATAAATAGTAGATCCGAACAATGCCAGTTGAAAGGAAATGAGAGTGACTTGATTCAAAGGAGAGGCAGTTGGGCGGGAAGAATTTCGAAATTTATCAGAAAACACTGTACCAAAACCAGGACACTGCCAGATGGCGCTGTTGGCTTTGTTTTGGAAAACAAAAATTGAGGTTAGTTTTGTCTTTGTAAATTTATTTGAATTTATTTTATTGGCCGGAAAAAGGTAATTTAGATCAGAAATGACGGTTTTCGTAAGTCTAATGAATAGTTCCTTGCAATTTCTAAGTAGTTTTCAGATACGTTAATGATTGGTACAGTCCAGGAACTGTTAGATCGTCAATTTTAGCATAAAGAAGTGGAAAGGTAGTTAGCACTTTATTTTCTTAGTATTTTCTGTATTATCTGTCCGCTACGCTTGACTGTATTATTGCAAGTATTCCTGGATGTAGTGAATACAGGAAGTTCAAAAAGATTTTGACAAAAAGTATTCTCTCCAAAAATGGTCACATTTATTGAAAAGGAAGTAACTTGAAGATATCATTTTACTTTCTACTTCTCCTTCTAAGAACTTCCAAACTTTTTGTAAAAATGTGCAAACATGCGCAGATCTCCCAGGCATGAACAAGAAGAAAAACTCCATTAGAAACAACTAGGATGAACAAAAGTAGTTGTTTTTCTTGGAATCTCTACAGTTTCAACATTTCTGCAACATATAATGAATAATTACTATATTCGAATTGTACCAGAAATATAATTTGAATCTCAATATTGAAACTTATTGTCAATCAACTTTTGAAAAAAAATCAACTATAACATTAAACAAATTTTAGTAGTATTAAACATTTTTTAAAACATAGAAAATCTCAATCCTTTATTTAATCAAAAAGTTACATTTATGGCTCACACGGCGAAACTGTTTATGCTGCCAACAAAAGGCTTGATTCAAGATCATAAATGTTATAAAATTACTCCTAGCATAAGTAGCTTTTTTAAAAGTGGAGTATGAAGTACTTTTGTAATATCCAAGATAGGTATACAAGTAAGTTCAGCTATCACTGCTCCCTTCTGGCAATAAAAATAATAATATTTATAATGATAAATATTATTAATCGATAAGAAAACACATAAATCTTTCTTCAAGAAGATACCATCTTATGATCAATTCAAACCTTGCTTATTGAAGCTAAACAAAGCCAAGCATCGACATCAAATGCCAGATAAGAAATTTCTTCCTATCTTACTTTGAAGCATTCACTGCAAAGGAACTAGATGTAACCAAAGTCTGAAATCTGCAGAGAAAGATAGTAAGTTATTTCTCAATCGGTGGTCCATGTCGAAACGATGCATTCTTGGTTCAGCCTGGCACCACTAATACGATCTGTGGCAGGTCATAACGGCGGTTTCATTGGTATGGATTATTCTTTTTTATACCAATAATTCCTGTCTATGGTCCTTGTGGTCTACAAAAGAGAATATAGCATAAAAGAAACAGTAGTAAAACCACTTCAATCGGGTGTATACTTATTAGTGTATGATTTCATCTGAAAAATGCATTCGACACTGGCTATACATTTTTTCTTTTGACCAAACTGAATGTTGAGTTTCCAAATAACATATTTTTTTGGTTGAAATCTTGTACGTACTTACGTGTTTCGGTACAAAAAATTGCACTTTATCAGTTAGTCATTCAAAATTATATAAACCAAATGAAATTTGTTTTCCTATTGTGGAGTGCACAATTTTCTCATGGAAATCTTAATTAGATAGGTAATTTCTAGGTCTTACGTCCACTGCTTCCTATAATTAATAATAATGCAGAATTTTTATAAATCAGATGAATGCATCCTTCTTTGCTGAAGATAATACTATATAAACTCAGATAAAGATTTGAATGAACTAGAAATACTTAGCAAGCAAAGTATTGACGATCCATTGCAAGCAAAGCATTGATGAAACCAATACTTAACTTCGAAGTTCTAAAAATAGTATATTTTTCACTTTCATATACTCATTTCTCTTACTCTGTGATTCTGTAGGGAGCATCATTTCATGTCATTTTACAATACACCAGAATTGCAATACTCTTCTCGACGCGCCGTTCAGCAATCAAGTTGACGCCTTCACTAGATAAACTCGGGCGCTAAAATGGTTGGTGAGATGCGTGTCGAGGAGAGTGTTGGAGTTCTCTTGTTTGGGAATAGTGCTTGTTTTGTATTCATTTTACGTCAGAGGTTCCAGTTCTATTTTTCATCACAGAGTCGGGATATGTTGAATGAAGTAAACTGACCTTAACACCAGTTATTATTTCCTCACGTCTATGTTTTAATGTATAATATATACGTTTTTTCAATGTATATGGTACATTGAAGTCAGTTTCATATTTTACCTATTTTTATATTTTAATTGTTGTTTCCTGCTATAATTGTGCAGAAATGTATGAAAAATAGGTTGATGACAAAACGAAAAGGTCCAAGAATAGAACCCTTACGAATACCTTGAAAAATACTCCATTTTATAGTGATGTAATGAAGTCCTTTTTTATAGATATCCAAGATGGAGATAGAATCACCACTCCCAACGGAGAAAAATTTCATAAGCTCCCCAAACGAAGATGACCCCAATGCAACCGGTTATGAAACTCTCCTAGTGATTGTGCCTTCATTTTTGTATACGTGTATTTCAGTATTACTAGAATCATCCATAAGCACAACGAAAAAGTCACGTTTTGTACTGGAGTTTTTTGTCCTAATTTTGCCCTTGGTCTTGGGTATGACACTGTGGGCAGAATATACAAAACTTATTTTGGTATCCCTTGTTGGAATTGTAGTTTCATTATTAGTGTTGAATTATGGAAAGTTTTCAGTAACAAGTAGTAAGACGAATGATTTACAAACATTTTTTATTACCAATGCCAGATCAACAATCAACACTTTGTCCATAATAGCAATACTGGCTGTGGATTTCAAGATATTCCCCAGACATTTCGGAAAAACTGTTACCTTCGGCTATAGCCTTATGGATACTGGGGTAGGCCTCTATGTTTACTCTAACGGTATAGTTTCGCCTGAAGCTCTAAACAAAAGCAACTCTATTTCAAAATCACTAAAAAGCTCCCTTCCGTTATTTGTAGTAGGGAGTGCCAGATTCATACTAACGAAGCTACTAAGTTATCATGTACCTGTCACGGAATACGGAGTGCACTGGAATTTTTTTATAACCCTAGGTGTCACGAAGATATTCACTTCATTCTTTCTCAATATTTTTTCAGTGAAATATATTTATATCAACGCTTTTCTGCTAGTTTTTGCGCACCAAGTCTTATTGACCAGCGGGTTAGAGAAGTTCGTTTTTGAGAATGATAATGACCGTGAAACTTTTGTCAAAGCCAACAAAGAAGGTATTGTTTCAAATATTGGTTATGTTGCTTTGTACTTGTTTTCCGTGTATTTTGGCTACTTTCTGAATTCGAAAGGTAGAAAGCAAACCAGTTACAGGCTTGGTTTTAATATTTTTAAAGGGGCTTTCGCCTGTTTGCTTTTTTCTCTAGTATTGCAGCAACTTTTTGGGATCTCCAGGAGACTGGCAAATGCATCTTATTGTTTTTGGATACTTTTTTTAGGAATATTCATGACTGGGCTTTTTTACGCCTTACAAATAATTCAACAGTCTATATTCGGACGGAAAGGTGTTTATACCCCGTATATTTTTGAGGCAATCAATTATAATGGGCTGGTGTTTTTTCTTGTTGGAAATATATTGACTGGTTTCATCAATATGTCAATGTATACTACTGATAGGAGCGATTATGTTGCGCTGTTGATAATATCATTGTATATATTCGTTAATTGCGGATTTGTTAGTGTTTTGTATTGGAAGACTTTGAAACTGAAGTTGTTTTGAATAATTTGTTGTTTCATATATAATTGTGATCTTCCTAAGAAAAATAATGTTTTATTTGTATTTGGTTGAAATCTATTTTCTATAACTAATTACTGAATTTTTGTTCGCTACCATGTAACTGTTCATTTCTGGTGAAAAAATATTAGGAAAAGGAGTATAAATGTGGAGAATTGTTGAAAAGGTTTATTGATATAATCTTGTATTAGCCAAGTTCGTCCCGATTTATATAAAAAATCCAGTTTCCGACAAATGTGCAATATTTTTTATCCCAAATCCTGCAATTTATAACGAAAGTTTATAATCTTGTTATTTGAATACCTATAATGTTTATTACTTTCATCATTATCAGTTCATCTTGTCATTTTTTAAATAACGAATTGAATTGGAACTAAGCTCTGTGGAAGAATATTTATAAAAACACTGGATTTTAAAGCTACCTGACCACTATAGTTTTTTTTTATAGCTGTTATACTATTTTAATATATGTCTGCATATGTGCAATAAATTATCATCAACTGTTTAAATATTGATGAGATGAGTTTAGATTATGTATTATTCAAATCTTTTTGAAAAAAGGGTCATAATATTAATATTTGAATATTCACTATACACAGAAACTATTATCAATCTAAGTGGAGTGAAGTTAGAATATATAATAGCGAATACAAAGAATCAAAATTGGATTTCTCGAGCCATATAGTAACTTTTATAGGACACCGAAATATAATTATTGGTTACGGTTGAAACAATTGTAGGGACGTATTTCGAAAATTCATTTCATGACAAGAAGTAAAGAAAAAATTACCGTGGTCGGATATTCCACGTGACTGAAGCCATCAGATAAAATAAGAAGAAATGGTGTTTTATCACAAATCTTACTTATCTGTGGTTTTATCACAGAATAGTAAATTTATGTTTTGATTTGTCTAACGTTTGGATGATCGATAGAGAGGTTATATTTTGACCAAAATGACTGATTCAGGCGAGGAATCTGAATTCATGAGATTTTTAGTCCGTGCGTCTATAAAAGAATCCAACAGAGAAAAGCTGTCAGAATCATCTTCCAAAAGAATAGAACCAGATAAAGTTCCGAAAACAAATGTAGATAACAAATTTTTGTACAACTTATCAAATGAACTTGTCAGAATTGAATACCCTGGACTTGTAAAGAATGCATCAAAGGCTATTAAAACCCTTGGTGGGATGTCCGGCATTGAAATGGTATTATGATAATAGGGGGATATAGAATGTGTTTTCATGAGGTTTTTTAGGCAGCATCTAACTCACGAATTAAACTAGAGCTACACTTTCATCCAGAGAACAAATATAATAAGCCGAGTTTTGCAGATAGAGACTTAAACCCCGGTCTTTTAGTTCGTGTCAAGGAAAGCCAAGGCAAAGTTGACTATGACATTGTTGGATACACTGGGGTGAATTTCAAATTCAACAGTGAGTACAGTGATGAATAAGTATTCAATTTAATAACTTGCGAAGGTTTTTGAAACAGTTCTTAATAGACTTATGTATTTTCTTTTGCTTATCACGAATAGGAGGTCAAAATTTGAAGCTCTTGTCTACTTTCAGAAATGCGGCCACTCAAAGGTTGCAACTGACAAAATATTTTCTGGAATTACGAATTCTTTTCACAATTCCATACTGTAGACCATTTTAAAATACTATTTCCAATAACGTGTAGTTGGTCTATGGAACGAATAAATTTCTTTCTTTCAAATATATTTCATGGATTTTTAACTTCTATTTCACCAATATAGCACTATTTTTGAAGTCAATGTTTTGAATCATATCACTTCAATTTGTCGTTTTTTTCATTGGCAATATCTCAAAAAGTCAAGAAAGTATTACATAGGCATATTTATTATAATTATTTACCCCCCATTCTGCTTGTCAGCAAAAGTAAACAAAGCTCTTACCCCGTCCCATGCTTACATAAAGATTGTTATATGCATTTTTCAAACATAGGCAATGTTTGGGTTGCCATGTGTGTAAAAAAGCAAATAACTATTGCTGACGTAATCACCATCTAGAACCCCGCCCCTGTGCCATCAAAAATAAGCACAGCAAAGACCCCCCGTTTCCTTATAGTGCTTACGTAATACTTGAACGGCCCCAAATGAAATTTATGTTACCAAGTTTTGAACATTTTCCTCAGGTTTGCCGAAGAAGACAAGTAGATCATAATTTTTTTATACCTTTCGCATTTATTTCTAATTTAATAACACTGCCTCTCCAATATCTAATTTGATAAAAATCTCAGCAATCTATAATGCAGCAAAATTATGTAACCATTTACGGTTTATGGAAAAACAGATTCACCACAGATTGGGGTAAGAGAGTTTCTTATGGAAAAAGTTACTGATGATTATTTCAGAATAAATATCACTTTATAACTTATCAAAATCCATTTTTATAATATTTTTTGTTATTTAGAGGCTACTTTATATTGTGTTTTAATGAGTTTGTCAATGAGATATAAATCTTTTGATAATAAAGTATATGTTGATCGATTGAGAACCTACAAAAAAGTCATTTGTAAAAGTTTCATAATCAGTTATAATGTAGTTTTCTAGAAAAAATAAAGTGTAAAGTGTGAAAAAAATCAAGTGGTGAATATGAAAATGTTATGTTTGAAAAAAATGTAAGGGGCAAGTGAACAAAGATTCACGGTTGTCGATATCCCTAAAAGTAAAGTTCAAATTCATGATCAGCAGACAAAAATATGTGGGTCTAATTACATTTTTTCAGAGACTACCAATTTTATTACCATTACTAGTATAGTTTCGTTTATAATATTATAATATTAATTTGGACAAATTTTGATGTTTTTAGAAATGTGTGAGTTTCAGTATTTACCTTTAGTTCCTACCAAAAATTTTAGTGAAGAAGAAGTCGAGTACATCTATGATAAAATAATACCGCATAAAATTCCCGATCTAGAGTACTTTTGGTAAGTACCTGACCTTTTCCGCCATACTAAATTTCAATTTGATAGTGTTTCAATATCATTATTTAAATTTCAGTGCTAAAGACAATGCCGAGCAACCTTTGTATTCTTTACCATCAGGATTCTCCCGATACGATTATCAAAACACCTTATACTTGAAAGCAGGAGAAAAGTTCTGCTTGGACACCAACACCAGACCTGAGCTCTTCAGAATGTTTGACCATAGGAAACCCAGAAATAGGTTACCGACGACATGTATAACAAAAGTGATAAGAGTGCTAGATTCTAATGTTGAGATTCCCACTGAGCCATATCCTGGTACTATGGAGCTTATAAAAGCTCGAAAGTATGAAGATGCTTATGAAGATGTTAAAAAGGTATGAAATAGTATACATATATATATCTAGTCTTGTAATTT